TGCTATAGGTGATGAAGAGTCACTGAAAGATCTGAGGCAGGAGACTGGTGAAATGTGCATTTGAGGCCATTCAGGGAACAGACGACAGACGGGAGGACAACAAAATCAGACGCAAAAAGACCACGTGAGAGGCCACTTCAACAGCCCAAGCGAGCAAGGTGGGTCCTGGAATGATGGCATTGCGGCGGGGCTAAACCGGAGGAGACGCAACCGCAGGAGACACTAGAAGGTAGATCTGCGGGACATGGTGAGCGACAGGATGTGTACAGGGGCTGCTGGGTTTGGGGACGGAGGAGACAAAGGGAGGCACCCAGATTCTGGCCTGGGCCACTGTGTGAATGGGGGTGTCCTCATAGGAGGAGGGGAAGGAAGGAAGTGTGTTTGGCTGACAGGTAGAGACCTGTCTGCAGCAGTGTGGACACAATGGTGTGTTCTCATGTAAAAGACGTCCAGAGGAAGGTGGCTCCTAGCAATGACAGGGACCCGAGGGCAGTGATGGCGAAAGCTGTGATTCTCGCGCCCTTTCCCTCCCAGGCCCAGAACGGCTGCTGGTGCTCCTGGCATCATGTCCATTTTCCCAAAGAGCAGAAAGGAATTAAGAAGAGTAAAAAGGCCTTTCCTTGGAAGCCACACCCAACAACATCTACTTCTATCCCTTTTACTTGGCAAGAGTGAGGTCACATTCAGAATGTTAAGGTTTTGCTTTGGGTTTTTTTTTTTTTTTTTTTTTTGCAAGGGGAGGGGTTTGGAATATACACCCTAACTTTGCAGACACTAGTTTACAGGCAGGTAATGAAAGAAGTGTGTTGTGGTGGTGCCAGGTCAGCCAACCTGCAGTATTTTCCAGATCAGAGAGATGAGGAGTCTGGCCTCAGTCGTGCCCATGTGAGACAGGTGGAGAGGTAGGTGGGGCAGTGAAGTACACTGAGCACGGGAGAGAAGTGCAGGCTTGGTGCGGCTTCAGCATCTAAGTGGAGCCCTTGTCACGGGAGGTGGTGAGACCATCCAAGGAGAGAATAAAGAGTGGAGGTCAGAGCCCTGGGGAATGCCAACGTTGAAGGGGCAGGCGGAGGAAGAATCCAGAAGCCTTGAGAACGCCAAGGAAGTAGGAGGATCTTCAGGAGAGCATCCCAGGGAGGCTCGGTTGGCAGCGACCCAGACAGGAGAGCACTGGGTTTGCACCTGGGGGAGTGGCAGATGAGGGGAAGGGGCGACCAGGGAACAACAGTGACAGAAGAGAGGAACCTGAGAACGGGAGACTTGGAGGCCGGCAGTGATAGGCTCCGGGCCATATGGTGGCCAGACTGTCACATTCTCAGCAACCTGTGCCGTCACCCCCAACAGGCTGGAGAAGGCAGACCGGAACCCCGCCCCACCGGAGAGGGTCGCGGAAAATACTGCAGATCGGAGTGGGGACTATGTCAACCCCGGGGGAAGCTGACCACGCCTTGTTGGTAAAGTCAAAGAACTGTCCAGAACTGTCCAGCCACTGCCGGGTCCTATGGCTAGGCCCACAGCTGGGTGGCTTCCAGGACCAGGCGGACTGGACGCTGGGGTTTCTACTTCAGCCTAAGGCCATTCCGTTTTCTGGCCCAGAGGTGAGGGCATGTATCTTTTAGTTAGTGCCTTACAGGCCTGTGGCCTGGCTGTGTTATTAGATCATTTTCTATATTAACTGAGTAACAGACGTTCGTTCGATATACATAACATAGAATACTATCATACGTTACTACGTGGAATTACAATATATGTGATAAATACATGAGAAACATATTGGTGATCTTTAAGACAGTCAGTTGGCGACTTTCAAACTCAGAAAACCAAATAAAGGTGGATGGGGATGCCTGGGTGGCTTAGTCGGTTAAGCGTCCTACTTCGGCTCAGGTCATGATCTCACGGTTCGTGGGTTCGAGCCCTGCGTCGGGCTCTGTGCTGACAGCCAGCTCAGAGCCTGGAGCCTGCTTCAGATTCTGTGTCTCCCTCTCTCTCTGACCCTCCCCTGCTCACGCTGTCTCTATCTCTCTCTCAAAAATAAATAAAACATTTAAAAAAATTTTAAATGAAGGTTGACGGAGGGAGAAACGCACAAGACAATGGATTAGCCTGGGACAGGGCGTCTTCCTGGTAAAGCTGCCTCTACGCTGTAACGGAGTGTTTCCCCCAATGTTTCCTGAAGGGCCTTCCTTTGTAGTTTTCATCAATGTTGTCAGCGACGGGGTGATATCTTGCTCTGTTAATTTAAGAAATTTTGTTGTAATCTGGTTGCATTATTGGCCTCGAGTTGTATCTCGTATATAAGCAATTTTCTCTTCAGCTACAGCATTTTACTTTGATGTTTTTTAACATGTATTCATTTTTGAGAGATACAAAAAAGCATGAGCAGGGAAGGGGCAGAGAGAGAGAGGGAGACATGAAATCCGAAGCAGGCTCCAGGCTCCGAGCTGTCAGCACAGAGCCCGACACGGGCTTGAACCCTCGAATCGTGAGATCATGACCTGAGCCGAAGTCGGACGCTTAACCGACTGAGTCCCCCAGGCGCCCCCAACTACACCACTTTAGAAACCCAGTTGTCACGATGAGGCTTGATGCCTGCTTTGCTACCGAGTGTCGCCTGGCAGTGTATTTCCACTTCTCTTCATTAGTACGGGCTGATGGCAGCTTGGTTTCTTAAATTAACATAGCAAGGCGCTAGCCCGTTGCTTCTCCCAGTCCAACACTAGAATACAAGCTCCACACAGGCAGGGTTCTTTGTTTGTTTACTGGTCGTGCTGGGTCGGACGGATCCCTTAAAAAGTCACGTCCTTACAGGAACCTCAGAACGTGACCTTATTTGGAAAGAGGGTCGCTGCAGATATAATTAGTTACGATGAGGTCATGCAGACGGGGAGGATGTGTCCTTAATCCAATATGACTGGTGTCCCTATAAAAAGAAGAGAAGAAAACCAGAGACCAAGACCCTGGGAGAAGACCACGTGATGATGCAGAGCCTGCAGTGGTGCATCTACAAGCCAAGAAACGGTGCAGACCGGCAGCAAGCACCAGAAGCTGGGAAGGGCCAAGGAAGGACCGTGCCCTTGAACGCGCAGATAGACCACGGCCCGGCGCACACGTTTGTTTCAGACTTCCAGGACTCAGAAGGAACGTGAGGCAATTCCCGTTGTTCTAAGCCACCTAGTTCGTGGTCCTTTGTTCCAGCAGCCCCACCTGGCCAACGAGTACGGCGGCACATCTCCGGTTTCTCGGATGGCGCCTGGCACGCAGCGGGAGCCCAATAAATGAAATCTCAGTGAAGAGACGTATGGACTTTCTAATTCCCCACGACCGACTTCTCTGTAGTATCAGGCACCTGCTGACGGCCACCATCCCCCGATATACACACTCCCTGATGCTCTCTCCTCTCGTTTCCTACATCACCAGGTCCAAATTATGTTGTCTGCTTTTGTAACTGTGTTTATTTTGAGAGAGCCTGCAGGCATGTGTGCGGGGGAGGGGCAGAGAGAGAGGGAGACCGAATCTCAAGCAGGCTCCATGCTGACAGCGCAGAGCCCAATGTGGGGCTCAAACTCACAAACCGTGAGATCATGACCTGAGCAGAAACCAAGAGTCAGAAGCTTAACCAATCGAACTACCCTGGCGCCCCTTGTCTGCTTTTGATTTTTATTTATTTATTTTTGAGAGAGAGAGAGCACGAGTGAGCAAGGGGTGGGGGGTGGGGGTGGGGAGAGAATCCCACATGGTATAGAGGGAGAGGGAGAGAGAGTTCAGAGCCCGGAGCACGGCTCAAGCTCACCTGAAGCGGGGCTCGAACTCACAAACCATGAGACTGTGACCTGAGCGGAAACTGGATTTAACCAACTGAGCCATTCAGGTGCCCCCTCCTTGTCTGCTTTTTATTTTTATTTTTATATTTGTTTTAATGTTTTGAGAGACACAGAGACAGAACATGAGCAAGGGAAGGGACAGAGAGAGAGACACAGAATCCGAAGGAGGCTCCAGGCTCTGAGCTGTCAGCAAAGAGGCCGATGAGGGGCTCGAACCCACGAACCGTGAGATCATCACCTGAGCCAAAGTCGGACACTTAACCGACTGAACCACCCAGGCGCCCCCCTCTTTGTCTGCTTTTTAAACATCTTTCCCAGGCATATATCTTCAGTCCTCTCTCTTCTTGCTCCACACCCCATGTGATGTTAACCCTTCCCAGGTTTCAATTCCCCATCTTAATCAAGGACTCCCAAATCTAAAACAGATCTAACCATGTCACCCCCCCCCCCACCCCCGCTTAAAAAAGAGTGCTAGCTACTGCCAACAGGTAAAGTCCCAATTTGCCTACTTCGGCATTCTGCTCGGTCCCCACCCCCAGGATGCACGAACCCCTTCCTGTAAAGCAACCCGGGCTCCAGTCGTCAAGGACCGTTCAAATTTCCCACCACACGGTATGTGATGTTTTCAGTGCCTCCATGTCCCCCCCTCCCCCCCAACCTGGGATGCTCCTCAACGCCCTCATCTAGTTGGTGAAACCCTGGTTCAAGGCCACACATGAATGCCATCATCTTTTGGCGCCTTTCCCGATCACCCTTCAGGAGAAGGACCCACTCCCATCTGTTTTTCCACAGCCTTTTGTTCACCACTGGCATTCTGTCCTATCACAAAGGTAGCCAGTCCCTTATCTATCTTCACAGAGCCCGTCTCCGGCTCAGTGCCTGGCCCAGTGCCTGGCCCACGGCATGCTCCAGGAGACTACAACTTAAATGAACTCATTCTACTTGCAAAAATCCCCTCAAATTACAGCTATCAAATGAGAGCAGAAGCACATATCCACAGCATTTCAACAGAGCACAGCAAAGATCTTGCTGTGTTCACAGAAGCTGGAGAGCCAACACAGCCGTCCAAGGGCTAGACCCACAGGATGGCCTGTTTGGCCCCAGACGGGGTGCCTGGACTCTCCAGAACCAGGCTGCAGCACAATCAGGAAATCGTAGGCGAGAGTACCCACCCCTTACCTCCGAAGATACATAGTTTCCTCATCTTCTGTGTTACAAAACTTGTGGGCGTGTTTCGCTGCATCTATCACACGGGACCGATCGCGGGGCCTCATGGGCAATTTCTCCAACTGACAGTCTGGAGAAATGGAGAAAGATTCAGTCACAGGAGCCACTGAGAAATACCATGAGGTAGTCCCAAGTCTTCGGCGGGGTCCTTAGCACGGTAACATGTTACCATAATCGCTATGCTTATTGCTGCCTATTATTGAATTTCCCAACGAACAAAATGACTCGGTGTCAGAACATTTGCAGCTCTGTTACCTTCTTGGTGATCTTTGGCAAATTACTTCCTTTCGGGTTTTTCTCCCCCTTATTTGAAGAATGAGTAGATTACATTATCTCAAACGTCCTTCCCAGCACTGCAAGTTTTCCTTGAGTGTTTCTGGGATCAGGGTACACTTGGTTCATGTTATCATGCATGAGAATCAGGGGAGACCAGTGAGTGTGCAGAAAAGAAGGCACTGGGAAGGGAGGAAGGCACTGGAAAGGGTGGATCTGTGCTTACAAAAGGAGAGAGACAAAGTGGGTGCTATGAAAGGAGAGGTATGCAAATGACTCAAACCAGCCAGAGGCGTTTCAGTCTGAAAACAATGAAAACATACAGGAAATAAATGAGGTGCAGTTACAAAGCAGAAGGACACTGACATAGTGCAAACTGTGTACCTAAAGGGTCAAAGAGAAATCAAGAGATCCCCATGACTCGAGATTAATGGAAGAGGGGGCGGGGGAGTCACAGAACACCAGGCAGTTTGCATGTTCATTAATCTTCACAATGACCTGCTGGGGTAGTCCTTTCATATTCTGAATTCAGAGCTTAAAGGTGAGGGAATTGAGGCTGACCAAGGGCGCCATGCATTTGAACAGCTATTCATTTGAACAGGTATGCGACTCAACTCGAGGTGATCAAAAGAGAATTCATTTATTCAATGAATAGGTGAGAGCCTTCAATGTACCAGGCGCTGGGGATTCAGCAAAGAACAAAGTCCCTGCCCTGATGACATTTACATTACAGCGGGAGGAGGCAGAAAATTTTAAAATAAGAATTATATGATATGACCTTGAATAATGATAAAGTGCCAATAAAAAAAATACCAGCAGGGGGCGCCTGAGTGGCTCAGTCGGTTGAGCGTCCGACTTCAGCTCAGGGCATGATCTCAGTTCGTGGGTTCGAGCCCGCTTCGGGCTCTGTGCTGACAGCTAGCTCAGAGCCTGGAGCCTGCTTCAGATTCTGTGTCTCCCTCTCTCTCTCTGACCCTCCCCTGCTCACGCAGTCTCTCTCTCTCTCTCAGAAATAAATAAGACATTAAAAAAAAAAAACGGCAGGATATTAAGAGGGTGGACAGCGATCTCAGATAGTGAGAAGTGCTATCAAGAAAAGTCAGGCAGAGTTCAGAGGACAACGAGAAACAAGGGTGTTATTTTAGGTAGCCAGGAAAGGGCTTTTTTTTTTTCAATGTTTATTTGTTTTTGAGAGAGAGAAAGAAAGAGAGACAGAGCGTGAGCAGGGGAGGGGCAGAGAGAGAGGGAGACACTGAATCCAAAGCAGGCTCCAGGCTCTGAGCTGTCAGCACAGAGCCTGATGCGGGGCTCGAACCCACAAACCCTGAGATATTGACCTGAGGAGCGGACCTCAGGCACTTAACTGCCTGAACCACCCAGGTGCCCCCAGGAAAGAGTTTTTTAATGAAGAGAGATTTCAGCAGGGACCTGAATGAAAGAAGGAAGCCCCTAGGAAAGCGTGTCTGAGGGGCGCCTGGGTGGGTTAGTCGGTTAAGTGTCCGACTTTCGCTTAGGTCATGATCTCGCGGTTCGTGGGTTCGAGCCCCGCGTCGGGCTCTGTGCTGACTGCCGGCTCAGAGCCTGGAGCCTGTTTCAATCTGTGACTCCCTCTCTCTCTGACCCTCCCCTGCTCACGCTGTCTCTGTCTCTCTGTCCTAGAAATAAATAAAACATTAAAAAAAATTTTTTTTTTAAAGTTAAAAAAAAGCGTGTCTGAGGCAGAAAAAAAATGCCAATCCCACCACTCGGGGAGGGGGGGCAGAACGTTTTGACAGGATGAAGAAAAACCAAAAAGGCCACTGTAGCTGCAGTGCAGTGAGCAAGGGGAAGAGAAGCAGGGGGCGAGGTCTGAGAGGTAGCTGAGAATCTTATCGTGCAGGGTCTCGGTATGGACTTTGGTTTTACTCTTGGTTCTATAGGAAACCAGCAGCTTGGAACAGGACCCTGGCCGTTGTGCGGGGGGAAAAGGCCCCTGGAGACGAAGAGTGGAGCGTAAAAGACTATGGTGGCAGTTCCAGGTGAGGGACAATGGTGGCTTGGACTAGAGTGGCAGAAACGGAAGTGGTAAGAAGCAGTAAGGTTCTGGATGGATTTTCAAGGAAGCCCCGGCAGAGCGTGTTGATGGGTTCGATGAATTGAAGGTATGAGAAAGCGACAAGTCAAGGATGATTCTGAGATGCTGGGTGAACAGGGGAGAGTGGGAAGTAGGCGACCATGAAGTCAATTTGAACATGATCCCTTTGAACATGGACATCAGACATCCACGTGGAGATAAGCAGTAGGCAGCTGGAGTTGGAGGGGACGTGTGGGGGAAAGATGAACATTTGGGAGCCGTCGGCACAGAGATGGTATTTAAAGCTTGGGAAAGGTTGAGATCGCTAAGGGAGTGAGTACAGACTGAGAGTAGGTAAGAGGACTGAGCCCTAGGGCCTTGCGATGCCTAAAAACCGCAGTCAGAAAAGAGGAGCCAGACACTGACAAGGGGCAAAATCGAGGCAGGAGGAATATCGGGAGATTGTGGAGTCTTGGAGGGAAATGAAAAAAGTGTGTTGGGCTTTATTGGGAGAGGGAGAGGGAGAGAGAGAGAATCCCAGGCAGACTCAGCACCGTCACTGCAGAGCTCCATGTGGGGCTCGAACTCCCAAACCATGAGACTGTGACCTGAGCCAAAGTAAGAGGCTTCGCTGACCTAGCCACCCAGGTGCCTAGAAAAGAAGTGTTAGGAAGGATGGAACCAGCATCTCTGTCAAATGACAGTAAGACGTGGGCCCAGATGAGCACTGATAACTGACCACTGGGACTAGTAACCTGGTCAGTTACTGACCTTGACAAATAGGGTTCCGATGGCGGGGTGGGAAAGAAAGCCTGCCTGAAACCAGGTTCACAGGGATGGGAATGGGAAGTGAGGATGCAGAGAGAGCCATCACAGGCAGCTTTGGCGGGGAGCTACAGCCGGAAGAGGACGGCGATCACGGGAGGATTTTATTCGGGTTTCAGAAAAGAGCCTGAACAGCATCCTCGTACCCAGCAGGAGGGTGACAAAGCTTCTGGAGGCGGCAACGGGAGGAGAGGGGGGGTAATAAACAGTTCATCTTCCCTGAAGGAGAAATGTACGTTTGCGGGAAGCCTGGATTAACACTGACCGGGTTAAACAGAAAACAGAGAAGCTATCCTGGAGCGGGGCAGGGCCGGCTAGCGAGGATTTCAACGGAGCAGGAGACGCGCCTCCTAGATCGCAGCCCCGCAGACTCCTCCCTCCAGAACCCGCAGTTTCCCGGCTGGCAGACGCCGCCCGGTTCCCGACCACTCACCCAGCACCAGGACCATCTGGCCACACAAACAGTAGTAGACGTGGAGGGGCTTCTCACCGTCGTCGTACTCCTCCCGATCCCGGGTGTCAGAGCAGACTACCGAGCGGGACACTACTTTAGGCATGGTTCGGAAGAGCAGCAAGGAACCACTAGCCAAAGGGGGGGGGGGGAGGGAAGCCCAGGGTCGCGCACAAATGACCTCATAGACGTGCCTCGAGCCTTTTCCCAGCCGGAAGGCTGGTCACGTGTCCGTAGCAGTCGCGGGGACTTCCGGGTTGTTCCATTCAGCCAGGACGCGGAGGGGGAGCCGCCCTGAAGCGCTCAGAACCTCTTTTGCCTTGGCCTGAGCTAGCCGGGACTTTGCTGGGGACAGTCTTGGCACTGCTGAAGTTAACTCGTGTATATTTCTGTATATGCGGCTCTATGAAGCCAGAGAGAACAAAGAAATAAATGTACACATTAGAGGCTTCATAGGTGTGCCTCTAAATATGATTTTGATTTTCATGGCTGTATCCAGGATGAGAACCTAAATGAAGTAGAGGTATCTTTTTATTTACTTATTTTTTAATACTTTTATTTATTTCTAGCAGAGAGAGAGAGAGAGAGAGACAGCGTGAGCAGGGGAGGGTCAGAGAGAGAGGGAAACACAGACTCTGAAATAGGCTCTGGGCTCTGAGCTGGCAGTCAGCACAGAGCCCGACCCGGGGCTCGAACCGACGAACCGCGAGATCATGACCTAAGCGAAAGTCGGACGCTTAACCGACTAAGCCACCCAGGCGCCCCAGTAGAGGTATCTTTTTAAAGTTGAGCTATAACTCATGTCATATAAAATTCACCCCTTAAAAGGTGTATAATGCCGTGGTTTTTTAGTGTATTCACTAGGTGTGCAGCCACCAGCACTAATTCCAGAATATTTTCATCGTCCCCAAAAGAAATCCCGTGTCATGAGCAGTCACTCCCCCACCTTTCCCCAGCCCCTGGCAACCACTAATCTACTTTCTGTCTCTGCGGATTTGCCGCTTCTGGACGTTTCGAACGAATGAAATCATACAGCGTGTGGCTGGCGGTGGCTGGCTTCTTTCACGTAGATTGATGTTTTCGAGGTTCATCCCATGTTGAAGCGTGAATGGGTAAAAAGGAACGAATCAGTGAAAAGGAATTTAATTCTTTTTTATGGCTGAATATCCTGTGGTATGGCTATACCACATTTCGTTGGTTTATTCAGCCATTGATGGAGACTTGGGTTGTTCCCACTTTTTGGATATAATGACTAATGAACATCGGTGTACAAGTTGTTGCGAGGACGGGTGTTTCCGGTTTTCCTCGGTGCATACTTAGGAGTGGAGTCGCTGAGTTACATGGTAACTTTGTGTTTCACCTTTTGAGGAACTGCCAAGAGTGTTTTCCAAAGCAGCTTTACCATTCTGCATCCCCACCAGACACATATAGGGGAGGAGCCTGACTTCTTCACAGCCTCACCAATAATTACTTTTGTCTGCCTTTTTGATCATAAGCATCCTAGTGAGTGTGAAGTGACATCTCATTGTGGTTTTGATTTGCCTTTCCCTGGTGGCAAATGATGAGCACCTTTTCATACACTTATTGGCCATTTATATATCTTCTTTGGAGACATGTCTATTCAAATCCTTTGCCCATTTTTCAACGGGTTGTAAGAGTTTGTGATACATTCTAGATACTAGACCCTCATCATGCAAATGACTTATAGAGCCCTCTTAATAATCCTGTTTGCCACAGTCATAAGGGGACATTTTCCACCCTTCCTTGCCCAATCCAGAAACTCTCCCAGAATGTTCTTTGTGGCGGACAAGTGCCTGGAGCAATCCAAAATAAGGACATTGAGACAGTTTCCACTGGATCACTGCAAAAGTCCAAGTGACAACACCAAACTAGTGGCTTTTTAACACAGAATTTAGTGATGGCAGCAGGAGCTTGTGACTAGAAAATTGACCATTTGGCTGGCTGGAAAAAGTTCAAGACACACAAGATGTAAACCAAGGGGCATTTAAAGCCATCTGCTAGAACTTCAAATGAATTAAATAAAATATAAAAGAAATGTGGTGTGTATATATATGTTATATATATGTATATATATGTAATGGAATATTACTCAAGCATAAAAAATCATGAGATCTTGCCATTTGCAACAACGTGGATGGACCTAAAGGGTATTATGCTAAGTGAGATAAAGAAGACAAAGAAAGCAAATACCACATGGTTTCACTTACATGTGGCACCTAAAAAGTAAAACAAACAGAAAGCAGAATCAGACCTATAAATACCGAGAACAAACAGTTGTTAGATGGAAGGGGGGTGGAGGAATGGGCAATGTGGGTGAAGGGGAGTAGAAGATACAGGCTTCCAGCTATGGAATGAAGAAGCCATGGGAATAAAAGGTACAGCACAGGGACTATAATCAAAGGCATTGTAGTAGCATTGCATGGTGATGGAGGGTAGCAAAACGTTTAGAGTAGCTGAATCACAGTGTTGTAAACCTGAAACTACTGTAATATCATGCGTCAACTATATTCAGACTTTTTTTTTTTTACCTATATTCGAATTTTTAAAAATCAATTCAAGTCTTAAAGAATCACAGTGTTTGCTCCTTAGGCCTTATTCCAATGTCATCCATATGATTTCACATTATTTGGTATCTACTGATCTTCTGCTGTGTGTCAGGTGCTGCACTATATACTAGTGGTATAGTAATCAATGATAAATGATCTCACCCCCTCACGCGCCTTAGTCAAATGCGAGGGTGGGTAAACTTTTGACATAAATATTTCAGCCTTTGGCAGACCAAGAGGCAAAATCAAGAAGATTATTCAGGTACTTATATAACGAGAGAAAACAAATTTCCACAAATGTTTTATTGATGAAATTCAAAATATACTAGTAATCAATTTTTGTAGTACAGGTCTGCTGAGGAGAAGAATAGCATTCTTTTATAGAGGGGATAATATTTCACTTAATTAGGACTCAAAGCGAGTGTTCTCTACCATCAAACTCCCTTGCCAATCTCCATATATCTTTACAGGTTTTTAAATTGCTTCATAGCTGGTCAGCTTGAGATTTTTGAAGAACCTCGTTTTTATGTTGTAATAGAAGTTTACAACTTTTTCCCAAGAGTCAACAGAGAGCACTGTTAATAAAGGTCTTTACGAAATACATCAGTTGCAAATATTCCTCTGTTACTACTTACCTGCAATGAGATTTTATGTATTGCATCGTTGAAAAAAATTTTTAACACAGATAAGCACTGCCAACTGCTGATACCAAATATCTGATTTTAATTGAGCATATTCATATCTTTTAAATTTTTCTTAATGTTTTTTATTTATTTCCGAGAGAGAGAGAGAGACAGCATGAACAGGGGAGGGTCAGAGAGAGAGAGGGAGACACAGAATCTGAAACGGGCTCCAGGCTCTGAGCTGGCTGTCAGCACAGAGCCCGACACGGGGCTCGAACCCACGAACTGTGAGATCATGACCTGAGCCGAAGTTGGACGCTTAACCGACTGAGCCACCCAGGCGCCCCAAGCATATTCAAATTTTAGAAGGAATTTACAGAATTCTATTGGATTCTCCTCTTGCTATTTGCCTTTTTAGTATGGCATTACATTACAGAATAATCACTTCCGACTGAAATTTAGGTAGAAACTCCTGAAATGCACAGTTAAATTGAGTTTTAAATATAGAAATTTCCTTTGCACTTCGCATCAAGTTCCGAAAAACACCACTGGAATTGCAATTCAAGCTCAGAAAATATATTCATTGCAAATTGGTGAGGGAATTCAAATCCTGATTTTTGTTTTCATTTTTGACAGCACAAGAAGAGATTAAAGTAATGGCATTACTTGTGATTCAAACAATGCTAGTTGTCATTGAAATGACTTTACTGAAATACAAGTCTCACATATAAGCAGTGCTCTGCCTTGAAATTTTAGTTTAAATGCATTAGGTAACATTAAGCCTACAGCAAAAGCTAATTGAAGAAAAAAAGCCATCCAGCATTTAATAATAGTGGTTGCAGGTGTTTCTTCTCATTCAGAAAATGTTCACTCTCAACCTTGAGCTCAAAAAAACAAAGAGGGGGGCCACCTGTGTGGCTCAGTCAGGCGACTAACTTCGGCTCAGGGTGTGATCTTACGTTTTGTGAGTTCGAGCCCCACGTCAGGCTCTGTACTAACAGAGCCTGGAGCCTGCTTCAGATTGTGTCTCCCTTGCTCTCTGCCCCTCCCCTGCTCATGCTCTGTCTCTCCCTGTCTCTGAAAAATAAAGAAATGTAATTAAAAAATGTTTTTTAAAGGGGGGGGATTGACTGAGAAAAACTTTACCACTGCTAAGCTATTGAACTGCTTTTGGTTGGGCAAATCAGAAATCTTCAGCTTCTAGTTCTGACAAAAATTCATGTAACTTGACTGTGGTTTAGTCCACGAGCGAATAAGTATTGCCGCTTATGGTTGAAAAACACAAGACAGACTCCAGTACTTTCGTGCAAAATGCCTGCTGTTTAATAATACAATGAATAACCAGAGGATTTAATCAACTTGCATTTTCACTCACTCCGTACATTTCTCCAACTCAGCCTTGTTCTGCTCCATACGTGTTTGTAACACATCTTAGAAGGTTCTACTTCGGGTTGTGCCGAATGAGTTATTCTCTTGACTTCTTTGAAAATATTCTCATCTGAGTCATCCCACACAGACTATCCATACAGGCCAACCCTTCCATCACTTTAAACTCAGCATTGACTGTGAGTAAAGTACCACGACTGAACAGTATTGGTAACATCTGCCCCCTCATTGAGAGCCAAGGAAAACCACTTGAAGCCATTTGCCCTGTTTGTTTGTTTTTCTTTTTTTTAAATGACTGTTGGTATTGCTTCCAATGTCCTCAACTCGAGGCACTGCTCCCGATGAAAGGCTAACTGTCTTTGAGAAGTTTCATTTCCCTGGACACATTTCTTTGGCTTCTGCAATCAAACCCGATTTAATTAACTCATCATCAATAAATGGCTTTCCTAGCTTGGCTAACAAATGAGCCACTCAGGAAAATCACTGTGGCTGCAGCCTCATTATCATGTTTGTGAAGAATTTTGCTACGATAAGATATCCCATTTTAAAGTTTCTAATTTTTCTAACCA